GGGGCTAAGAACACACTTATCTCCCTGAGCCTGGCCTTCATAAGTCCATTCCATCACACTTTAAGACATGAAAAATAAAATGGGAAGTGATCCCAGATGTTAAGGTAAGGACAAAGGTAGGAAACAGAATATAATTAGTTGCGATAAAGATACGCAAAGATGAGGAAATACTCATATGCAAAGTGTAATACAGATGCTCCTTGATTAACAACCACTTGTTCAGTGACCATTCAAACTTACGATGGTATTGAATGAGGGAGACTTATGACAGGTCCTCATAGTTGTGGCCATCACAGCATCCCAATGGCCAGGTGATTGTGATTTAGGCGTTTGGCAACCAGCTCGCAATTATGTTGCAGCATCCCGCGGTCATGTGATTGTTTACTGGAAGCCAGCAGTAAAGGTCGTAAGCAAAGTCACTGAGAAAGCCAGGAGTATTACAAATGGCAATCATATGTCCATGGGACACTGCGGCCACGTGGGATTTGCCTAATGACAGCAACTGGGACTGCCAGAATTGCCGTCATAAGTTGGCAGAGTCACATAATGTTACACTTTATGACTGCATCACTTAGCGACATTGGTAAGTGAGGGCTACCTTTATAACTAAATCAAGTCCTCCTACTTGCACAACCTCTTACAAAATGCTGCAGTTCTCGAAAGCATTGCAACCTATTGCAACACCACATAATGAGTACTTGTGCAAGCACGTACAAACTTTGCACTTGTACAACCTATTGCAACACCATAAGGAGTACTTGTGCAAGCAGTTGTACAAACTTTGGTTAACATAAGTTATTAGTACTGCCTCACAGACTGATGACAGCATCCTATAGAGACCTATATGATGAATCAGAAGATTTACATTCTACTAAAGAAAATCAAAGGTTAACTAGCCAATTTCTTACAAGGAAAGCAACTAGAAAGCTAGGAGAACTTATAGAGAAGGAATAAAAGAGAAGAGGCAGTTGATAAGTGGGCTGAGGAGAAAAAAAAGGAAAGGAAAAGAACATAAGTAGTGCTTTTGAAATAAAAGAAAACAGAGAATGCCAACCCTTGTGAGAAAGTAAACTATAATTCTATAAAAAGGCACACAGTTTTGTTATGTTAACTCTTTAAAAAGAAATTTCTGTTGTATGCTATTATTCATACAGTATTATTGCAAAAAATTTAAGTGTTCATAATAAAAAGGTCCTCTGAGTAAACGAGAGACAGAATGTAAAACCTGTTGATATACTATGTTACCAGGAAAAGAATCAATAAGGGAACGATTTAAGAACTCTTAAGTTTATTATTTAGATGTAGTGGAAACAAGATTTTAAAGTATATGACTTTGGGACATGTAACATTAAACTATAATGTGTGAAACTATGTCATTTATAAAACATAGTTTATCATTCAGCATTATGTGTCTATCCAGTTACTGACCTGTGCAACAAACAATGGTTATAACACCTAGTGGCTTTTTGTGTTGTACAGGTTTGACAGGATATATACTCAGCCTTTTGCAAAGGAACTCAAGGTGGCATACATAGCCCTTCTTCTTCCTATTCAGTTTCACCTAACTAACCAGTACTGTGGCCACCAATTTTCCTGCTTCCATAGAGTTTATCACATTTAAAGGTCTGCATATAACATAAAAAGCTTAAACCAAATCTAAATAATTCTTCTGTAGTCATTATAAACTTACCTTTAGATAATGCTTCCTTGTATTTTTCTTTGGCAGAGTTTACTTCCTTAATTAATTGTCTATAACTAGATTTTAATTTTTCCAATTCAGTTTTTGTAACCTATCAAAAAACATATATAGAAAAGAAATTGGCATATCAGTACATGCTATGAAGATTTAAACATTACCCACAGAACCAGGCTGAAGCATAGTACAATCAGCAAGAAAGCATTGAATTTCCTTATGTAGAGCACTATTAAGAAGAATCATTCTGAATGCAACATTTGAGTAATTCCATGGATCACATTTTTGAGACAAAAGACCACAAGAATGATTTGGTTAGGAAATAATGCTCTTCAACAGGGGCCCATCTGTATGTTCTAACAGTAAAAGAAGCTAGGTTAGGGGTAAAGTTCTCTTTTCAGAAAAAAATGAATTCCCTCATTTTGAAAAACATAAGTTAGGAAAATGTATTGTCGAAGGCTTTCATGGCCGGCATACGATGGCTGGTGTGGGTCTTCCGGGCTGTGTGGCCGTGTT